GAGCATGGGTGAGCCTCTCCCGCCCCCGTTCTGCGGCGCCCGTGTCCTCCCCCTCCCCCTGAGCCAGCTCCCGCTCCCTTGGGGTCAGTGTGCCCAGCGCCTTCCTTCCCTTTCCCCTCCTCCCTTGTCCCCCTCCCGCTAGCTCGGCTTCCCCCCTGTCTCGCCTTGCCTCCCCTGGTGGCTAGAGCTGCCGTAGCTGGGTGCTGAGCTGCCTCTTTGCCTCCCCCACCCAGGGCTCCTGCAGGTGGTGAAGCAGTGCGTGAGGGTCCCCGTGTTCGTGATGATCCGACCTCGCGGCGGCGACTTTCTCTACTCGGACCGGGAGGTGGAAGTGATGAAAGCTGATATCCGCCTTGCCAAGCTGCATGGGGCTGACGGGCTGGTGTTCGGGGCCCTCACTGAGGACGGGCGCATCGATACAGAGCTCTGCACAGCGTTGCTGGGTAAGAACGTCTCCAGTCAGAAGTGCTGTGCTGAGCTCTGTGCTATATCTGTGCTGTGACTGGAGGTGGGAGTTCAGTGCTACAGCTCTGTCCGATGCTGTAGAAAGAGCTGCAGGGTGCTTTGGTCTGCATGTCTTGTCTGGGGTCTTGCCATCTCTTTCCACCTTTTTCAGTTTTATGTATTGTCATAACTGTGAGGCATTAAATAGGTAAGGAGCTTTACAGATCAAGGACCACTGCCCCAAGCAGTTCACACAAAGTTTGAGGCCGCCTGGGACATAATAGAGTCTAGGAAGGAGAGAGGCTTAGGTGACCTGCTTTGGGGGCATCGGAGTATTAAACTTTGAGATTCTCTCCCTACTTTGTTTTCTTTGCCCTCTGTTCTTTTCCTTACATCTCTGCTACAGGTGTCTAGGATATGTCTTTCCTGGACTTTGGCCTTATGCGTAGCTGACAACTCATCTTCATTTTTTCCTCTAACACACTCAGTTAAAAAAGATAATGAAGGAAAGGTGGAAATGTGTAAAAGGCTACTGAAGCTCAGTGGGAAATTGTTAGTCCAGACTCCTAACAAAAGAGAGAAAGAGAATTTTCTTCCACATCTTTTCTGTGAGCTACAGCCAAAGCTAAAGTGGTCTGAGCCTTTCCCTGGTGGTATGGTGTTGAGGTTCTCATATGAAGGTGAATATGCTGTAGGGAGTGCAGAAAAAGAGAGGGACCTTGCCAGGATTTGCCTCCACTAGAGCAATGAGGTGCTCTGCCAGAACCAGTGTTTCCAGGGCAGGAGGCAGTTGGATTTCTTTTCATAGAGATAAATAACTTTTGCCCAATAAATAGAGCCCCACTGGTGAACTTTGCTGTGGTCTGAGATAGAAGAGAAATTATAGGTAGTGAAAGATATCACAAAAATCAACTCTGTTGCTTTCAAAGAGCATTGGTGCTGTCTCTTCTCCAGGTAGATGAGACAACTTACCTGCTTTCTTCCTGAAGAGAAACATTTCTGGTGGGAATGAGGGTTCTGCATGATCCAGACGAGATGGGGAATTTTGGTGTTACTCATAAAAACAAAGGTTTGTTGCTTCCTCAAAGGGCAGAAGGACTCTTCCACACCAAAGACCCTGGCCAAAGAGGAGCAGCTGTATTGTTTCCATCATGTACTGGGAGTCTTCTGAGCTTCCCCAGGAATGGCCCAAGAAGCATTTGCCCTCTTTCATCTTATGTGTTTTTCTAGTTCTAGTGCAAGGACTTGCTGTGCCAGCCCTGACTGACCATATGTCTTCTTATTGCAGCGGTGTGCCGTCCCCTGCCAGTCACATTTCACCGAGGTGAGTCGCCTGGGGCAGCGGCCCTGGCAGGGACCAGCCTCTGCCCCGCTGCCAGGGGAAGGTGGGGCTGGGAGTGAGCTGAGCTTAATGTACTTTGGTTATTTTTTGGAGGGGGGAAAGCTTTGCATACTGTGCAAGAGTAGGCTGTGGCTGTGCTGTTCCCCCAGGAGCGGAAAGATCCCTGGGGGGTCCAGGCTCAGGGGCTGTGTCACTGCCCTGTGTGGGTAGGAGGTGTCTGAGGAGCTGAGCACAGTGGCCTGGCCACTGCTGTGAGGGGGACATTATAGTCGGGAGCTGTGGGGCTGGCCAGCTGTGAGAAGGACCTTTCCTATTGTTGTGTCTTGGGCTCCTGAGCTGGCTGGGGGACAGGGCTTGCGCATGCTCAGATGAGTGATTTCTGAGCTGTTCTGTTGGTGTCTCAGCCTTCGATATGGTGCATGACCCTCTGGTGGCATTGGAGACCCTGATTTCTCTGGGGTTTGAGCGTGTGTTGACAAGTGGTTGTGACAGCTCAGCGCTGGAAGGATTGTCCTTAATTAAGAGGCTTGCGGAACAGGTAAGTGTTCCCCTGGGTTACCATGGCTGCTTCCTGGGCATTGCCTGGAGGAAGCTCCCTTACAGTAGCATTCATTTTTGTAAGGGAAGCTTCTGTCAAGCAGTGCTTTCCCTTCTTGTCTGGCTTGGCCTTAATCTGTTTTTCTGAGCCCATGTGGGCTGGATCCCGAAGTCTCCCACAGCAAAGAATGATTGGTTGCGGACTGGGAGGAGGGCAGTAAGAGTTGGTTTCAGCAGCTGATGTGATTAGCCCACGTAAACAGCAATGTGAGGTCCCTGCTGGGGTCTCATAGTTGCTCTTAGGAAAATGCAACAGATGTACCTGAGAGGTAGCCAGGAGGGATAGAGAGGTAAGGGGAAATGTTTACAAATTGTCTTAGCTCTAACTGCATAGTCTTTTCCACTTGTAAAACATGCATAGTACAAAAAAGATGTGTGAGAGTGGTAAGCCATGGTGACATCCATGAGCTTACTGAAGATGCTGCACATAAGGTTTCTTTGCTGCCCCACAGCTAGATGTGTGGGTGTAGTGCTGAGCAATATCACTAACACGTTTTTCTTCTTTCAGGCGAAGGGCAGAATTGTGGTGGTGCCAGGTAATGTTTTTTTGACATCTGTAACAGGTTCCATATTCCCTAGCCCCTGCTTCCTAGCCTTTCGGCCTGGGATGCACTGTCTGATCTGGCTTTTTGAGCCAGGTCTCCAGGAGGAGGAACTCGTGCACCCGTGTGAGTAAAGGCCGTGCAGCCAGCTGGGGATGGCAGAGCCCTGCAGCTGCTCCTCTCTGGAGAATTTGGGGACAGCTTTAGATCTGTGGGAGAACACGAGCCAAGGCTTTTCCCATCTCTTTTCACGTGCCTGGATCTCTGTTGTCCTGAGGGATGTCTTTTCCACTCTATGTAGAAGGCGCGTGTCCCTTAGGGGGATAGGTGCCAGGGTAATGTCAGGTCTGGGACAGGGCCATCTGCGCTGTATGTGATGTTGGGATTCTTCTCACCAGGGGGTGGCATCACAGAGCGCAACCTGCAGAGGATTCTGGAAGGCTCCACTGCTTCTGAGTTTCACTGCTCTGCTCGTTCAGCCCGGGACTCTGGAATGAAGTTCAGGTAACTGATTATTTATTTTTATTTATTATTTTATTTTTTAGCAAAACTGTACAAGGGAAAAGCTGGATTAATGCGAACATGAGTTTGTAGAACAGACATACATTTCAAACAGCTTTCTGGGTGCTAATTGTGCTCTCATGGTTGGGATCATGATGCCTGGCTCTATGTTCTGCAGTGTACGAGGCCAGTGGTGCTCATCATCTGGACACGAGCTCCATGCATAACCGAATCCTTGGGGCATTTCTTCTGCTACTGCTGCCCTAGGGCTTTAAGTGCACTTGTGTAGCACTCAGGAAGGCAGGTTCTGTTGTAGTTGCCTTAGACCTTTAACACTGGAGTGTGTAGGATTTGGGAGGCCCATGGGATGTGCCTCTGAGAAGTGAGTGATGAATGGCTTATGTTTGTCCACAGGTCTGGGTTTCTGTTGATGCTGTTGTTTCTTGCCCTTGGATTATTCTTCTTTCTATTACTGTCTCATCTTTGGTGTGGGTGGCACCAGCAGGTTCTTTGGTGACTGCTGAGACTAGGGGAGATAGTGAGTTTTCCTTAGTGTGTCTTATTCATCTGTGTTACCTGCATGTAGTAACCAGTTGTTTTCCTGACAGGAATCCAAATGTTGCCATGGGAGCGTCCTTCTCTGCCCCTGAATACTCCATAAAGGTGGCAGATGTGGCCAAAGTGAGGACCCTGAACGCGATTGCAAAGAACATTCTGTAGTAGAAGGCACCGTGCTGGGACAAGAGCGCTGAGACTCCAGGGTCTTCCCTGCCACATGGACAGATGGGTACCGTTTCCATCCTCAGGCTGCAGAGGGTGTGAACTAGGTGATGAAGCCTGACATCTCTTCCCTTGGCTTCCCCTGAATGACCAGTCCCTGGCCTGGAAACTTATGTTGGCCATTTTAAATAAAAGGACTCATTCCCAGATGTTGCAGCAACAAGCTGTTCGGCAGTATTTGGGAGAAAGGGAGCCGAGAAAGTAGGGGGATTGAATTGTGTAGCACTGCATGTGATTGTCAAATAAACACTGCAGCTGCGCCCCCTCTTGCTGTGCTTTTTAAAATTTATTTTTGTTTTACAGATAAGACTGTGGTCTGTATTACATAGCTCAGTACAGTGTGCTTTGGTGTCAGTTCAAGATATATACTGCCAACAGAGAATGGGCTCATCTGTGTGGCATGAGGCAGTTTGCACAGGAGGCAGAAACACTTGCCAAGAGCAAAGTAATAGCAAATAAGCATTGGGCTAAATACGTGACTCAAACCCTAGTGTCGGGAGAGGTAGATCTGGGAGTTGCCTGCTAGGTCTGAGAGGCAAGAGCCAGACTTGCACTGTATTAGCCAGGCCCCTGCTGCACCACAGGAGAAAACAATTGCATCCAGAGTGCCGGGGAGGGAAACATTACAGCCACAGCTGGAAAACAAGGCCTGCTGTGGTCAGCCAGCTGGGGACTAGCAATGCAGCAGCTGCTAGGTAGAGAGAAGCACATTGATGCGTAGACGTGAGGAGCACATTAAGTTACAATGTGAAGGAGCTTCTACCTACCTGACTGATCAGGTGAGCTAGTTGTGAGGCATCCTGGGCTGTGGGGCATGAGTGAGGTGGGATGGGCATATGGTGAGATTCCTTGGGGAGGACAAGGTGCATTTTCTCAGGGACTTTCCAGGTCCTTTTCCTAACATGAAGCACAAACCATCTGCTTGTTCTGCCGACAGTGCTTGGGGCAATGTGCCTGTTGGGTTATTGTTGCCTAGTCAGAATTGAAGCCTTAGACTCGTTTCAGTTACCCTGCAAAATACCCAGTGTAAGACCTGAACGGTCTCAGAGTGGCCCATTAAAAGAGTAGAGACCCAGAGATAAAGCACCTTCATTACTGCCTGCTCTTCTCTGAAAGATCCACAAAGCTGAAGAGAATCCCCGTGACAGCAGAGAGAGCAGGCCTTCCCAGGAAGCAAAAAACAGAATTCAAATTTGTCTGTCCATCTTGGCAATAGCATACAGCCTGTGAGGATGTACAGGAAAATGTAATATTTGACAAGGTGGCAGGACCTTTTGTCACCTTAAACAGAATCAGGTCATGGAAAACCTATAGCCAAGACTGTGTATTTTTAGCTCAAAAGATACATCCACCTTTTCACATGGATCCATCACAGGTATCAGTGTCTTCCAAAACACACCTCAGGAATGTACATGGTAGTTCTCAACATAGGAGCTGGAAAGGCAATGATGGCGTAGTGCTGGTGTCAGAGCCTGCTTTGGCACTCATAGGTGTGCAAGCAGTGGGAAGGATCCAAACTTGGAAGAAAGTATTATTTAATCTGTGGTTATAATCAGTGTAGTTGAGGACACCTGATTTAAGAGTTCCTGGCTTATGTTGTGAGATTTCATGAGTCATGGTGATGATTAAGATACCGTAAGTCAATTAACATGAATATTCTGCTGACACAGCTCTCCCCAGCATCATAAACACAGAGTTTGGTTCTTTCCTTTCATGTAAAGTTTAAAAAAGGAAAGGAAAAAAGGCTTTTGAACTCTCATGGCGTTACAGCATAACAAGGCAGAGAAACAAACCCTTCAGAAACAGAGATAAGCATTGAAGGCTGGTCTAATTTGCAGATTGCCTTGCAGAAGCCTCTGTCCCGGACCAGACCCTGTGTGAGACTAGCATGAAGCAATGCCTAATTTTGAAAACTTAGGTTATAAATGGTGGACAACAGACAGGTAAAGGGAGGGTAGCAGAGGGAAAGGGTGTGGTATTGTTGGCTAAAGAGATCTTACCACTTTGATTAGCTTGGTCCCAGTGAATATTTTCTGGGTATTGCAGTGAAGGAAGCTTTATAGAAGGAACTGAGGGACAGTGAGGTGGCTTTGTGGTTTTTTAGGTGGAGCATGTCCCAGGTATGATGGTAGAGAAAGTGAGGGTGTGCTTGTTTTGAACATTAAAGGTAGCTGGCATCCTATGCTGAGCAAACCACTTCGGCTCTGAATGAGAGACCAAAGATGGGGTGAGGATGGGCTGTGACACATACTGAAAACCGAGACAAGTGATGGGACAGAGCATTAACTAGGAAGGTGTCATGAGCAAGTGTTCCCCTTGGCAGTGGTGCTCCAGGTGGGTACAAGCAAGGCCAGAGGACAGCTGTGCCAGTGAGCAGAAAGAAGAATCGCATCAGCACTCCGGGTGGAGAAGGGCTGAGGAAGTGACTGCTCCATTCACTTATTTCTTATCCATTGCTTCGGATTGCTGCTGTCATCAGCAGTGTATTGGTTCTGGCCTGGAGGACCTAGCACTAGGGGTAGTTTTATTTACCAAAAAAAATGTAGATTTAATCAGACAAGCCAATAATAATTAACCAATGAGTTGGACATTGAACCTTCCTCTGCTACTGATGGTAAGGGAGTTGTTCCTGAGCAATTACTCATTGTATCACCCTTGACTTCTGAGCTATCTACAAACTCCATGAACAATGGGACAGCAGAATCCTTGCATTCACCCTACCTTCCCCTTTTATCTGCTTTTATCTCAAAAGCATGCACGATAAAGCAAATTCAGTTCCAGCCTTAGAGTAGCACCATACCTATCTACACCCACACCTCCACCTTTCTAAGCACCAGGTTGATGATTTAGTGGCAGTCATCTGCCTCGGGAATGGTCCTTTGGCTGCCTCAGATGTTGGGGGTTGCCTTAGAATGAAGATTCAAAGTCTCTTTTGGGTTTTGTGGTCAGCCAGCTGCTGTAACATGCAGACAACACAGAGATGTGGGAAAAGAGAAGCAAAAGGAAGAGCTAGGAAAGTCTCCAGGCTCTGCAGGCCCAAAGAAGTTGGTAAAAGGAGCCTGGATCCCACTGCAGCATGCAGTCAGCTCAGCTGCCAGTCTGCAAGTTCCCAGGCCTGGAGCACTGCTGGTGTCCTGGGCCTCCTTGCTGGGTGGCACATGAGAAAAAGGGTACTGTCGTCTTTGGCTCCTGGGGATCAGCCTTTGCTGGACTTTTTGGCAGCATTCAGCAGGCTTGTTCTGGCGGGGGGGGTGTCTGTCGCACCAAAGTAGTGTCTTTAGCAGATCCATATGAGCTTGTCTCGGTGTGCACTGATGGAGGTTGTGGTTTCTGAGCAATGGCTGTGGTGTCCTGCAGTGACTCTGTGGCAGTGGCTTCCCTGTATCTCCCCTTTGATCTCTTTCTTGGGTCTTCCTCTCCTCCCCTCCCCAAAGCCCATGCAGTTTCCAAAGCCCTTTTGGTTACTGTTTTAGTCTGTGGTGTTGTGCAATAGCACCAAGTTAACAATTAACCGCGTGTCATCAGGGATTTCGTCCCAACACCACTTGAGGGTGTGTGGGGACTTTTGTCCCAAGCATCCACGCAGGACTCTCACAGCCAGGCGGAGCGAGGGGAAGGAGCCACCATCTCTTCTCGCCTGAGCCATGTCGGCAGCCCTGGAGAAATTCTGCGGCTCCATCTTTTGGGTGAGTGGCTGCATCATCCCCATCGCCCGTTCTTGGGGTAGGATGCTCAGTGGGAGAGCAGTAGATCCCAAGGGTCACAGCTTGTTCAGCCAGTGGGACCCAACTGCCAGCGGTCAGCCGAGGCTCTGGTATTTGTCCAGGGCTGCCATGGCACTGAGCACTGTGCACTGCCTGGGCGATATCCACAAGACAACGATGCAAATGATAGTTCCCTGAGTCCTGTCCTGTTTTATCCCTGCAGCCCAGCTGGGAACACAGGACACCCTGCACAGACCCCTCAGTGAATGATTTGGGTCCAGTCACTGCGGCTGGCTTGGCTCCAGCAAGGGGTGGTTGTGGGGGGGGCCCTCAGGTTCAGGCAGATAGATGGGTAAGGGGACGTCACCTGGGACCTTGGATGAGTGTTGCAATGCTCAGCCAGGAAGGTGGGTGTTGAGGAGGGGGGCGATGGGGTGGAGGCCGGGTAGGCAGGAGCTATAGGAGCTCTGGCTCTTGTGCTGTGTGCCAGAAGGGAGTTGAGCCATCCCAAGTGTCTTGGCTATCTGTCCTTGCTGTCTCCAGAATGCCTCCTTCCTCGCTCGTCCGGATGCTGACCTGCCCGTGTGCTTCCAGCAGACTGTGCTGGTCTGGGTCCCTCTTGGCTTCTTCTGGATTTTGTCTCCATGGCAGCTCCTGCCCATGTGCAAATCCAGAGCCAAGAAATCATCTGTGACCAAACTCTACATCATCAAACAGGTAAAGTGGGGCTGAGGGGGCAGGCTGGAGCAGCTTCAGATGGAGAGGTGGTGAGTGGAAACCCTCTGGGCTGGAGTCAGGTGTGGGATGGAGAGATGAGAAGTGTAGGAGGGAAGGAGAAATGGGCTAGGGCACCATTTGGGACAGAAGTGTAAAGGGGAGCCCAGGATGAGGCATATCTGGGACAGAGGCGATAATAGGGCTGGGATGCACCGGGAGGGAGGGCTGAGGTGTGTACTGGGGCCTCTCAACTTGTGGCCTGTTATCCTCCAACCTTAAAATGATGGCAGTGCTCCTGTGGAAGTGCTGCAGCTTCACATGACCCTAGAAAGCTCTCCTGGTGCAGGTTTGGGTTGGAAAGGGTGTAATGTGTATCACACATTACAAAAGCACTGTGTATGGGGCACAGTGCTTTTACACCTGACTTGTTTCCCAATGGTTCCCAGTGCCCACAATGGGCTGGGTCTCCCCTCATGGCTGCTCCCCTCTCCCCACAGGTGCTGGTTACCTTGCTGATGCTGACGGCAGTGGCAGAGTTGGCCCTGGCTTTTGTAGAGGACACAGAGCAGGACCCCCTGCCAGCTGTCCGGTACACAAACCCCAGCCTGTACATTGCCACCTGGGTAAGGGATCAGCCGGTAAATGTGCTGTGTGTCGGCAAAGAGACAGAGAGTGCGGCCGTGGGGCCAAGCAGCAGAAAACTTTCGACAGCATAGAGATCAGCTGGAAGCCATGTCCATGAGGGAAGCACAGCCTGGAGGATGGGTAGGGACTAGCCCTGAACATGTGTGGGCAGTGCACAAGGGCGATAGGTTGAGCGCAGGTGGCTAGTTGTATGGTGCTCTCTC